CCGGCTCCTCTCTCTTTGGTCCTGACCAGCACCCAGGAGGCTTGGGGAGTGTTTCCTAGCCATCATGAACAGTTAAAAGAAGCTTCCAGGATCCTCAGCCTCTCCTCTCTTGGACCCAATGTCTCTGCAGGCCACAGCTGTTATTTTAAGAAAAGGGCCCAGTCCATACCATTTACCCCACCAGTTCTAGCACCACCTACTCTGAGTCCTCAGGGACAGCCTAGGCCCTCAGGCTCCTGGAACTCTAGGAGAGAGGAGGGGGGCCCCTGCTGGTTTCTTGAGAGGCCAGAGCACCACTCCAAAGTACCCAAAGGTCCCACCCTACTTGGCCATCTTTTCCGTGGCACATTTGGGTCATCAGTCATGGTTCATCAGCCAGTGGAAAAACCATCCTGGTAGATGTGTCCTCTTGGGGAAAATGGGGAGACCTGAGCCTCCCTGAGCTGTCAGCAGCCTTAATGACCAAGGCAATTCAAAGATGGCTCTTCCTTTTTCCCACAGGCCACTGCTCTGAAATATCACCCCAAGACAAGAGGGGTACCAATTTAAGACTTGCACTTGGCCTTGGTGGGAGGCCAAAGCGTGGGCAGCTGGTTATCAAACCTTTACCTCTTCTCCAAAGCCATTCTCAAGCTCCAGTCTCCTCCCTTTAGTCAAGCATTTGTCACCCCTCTCCCCACAAAGGCCCTCACACAGTTTACTTCCCCCCTCCCCTCTTTCCCACCCTCTGCTCCTTAGGTCTCACCCCTTATGAGTCTTTTCTGCTCTTTCCTTCCTTTCCTCTGAGAACTCATTTGCTGCCAGAGAGCTCCCTTACACTCCAAGTCTGTCCCTGGCTGTCTGTACATCACCTGGGAGAAAATGAGTAAACTACAGTTTATTGGGTCCTGCAAGTGCACAATCTGATACAGTTCCTCAGTCACCTTCCCAGGTGGCTTTAATTATCCCCACTGCACAGGTGAGAAAACTGAGGTGTAGAGATGGAGGTAAAGTTACAAGCCAAGAACACATGACTAGGAAGTTTTGGAGCCAGGTCCCTATCATGTTCATTCATCAGACTGGCAGGGAGGGTGGCAGAGACCCCATGCCACCTCAGTGTGCCCCTCTACAGTCTCCCTTGCAGAAATTCTTGCCTCTCCTTTTCCTTCTTACAGAGGCCCTCATGTTATCATCACTTCTGCATCCTGTTCCTCCCCAGAAGCCCCCAAGCAAGTCCTCAAGGTCACTGCCAAGTCATCATCTTCCTCTCTCCTCAGCCAGTCACAGGCCTCTCCTACGATGCAGTCCTCTCTGACCTGCGGGAAAACCGGAGCAGGCAGTTCCTCGTTAGGGGCTCCAGACAGAGGTGCACAGTGCCCCAAGGGGCGCCGCCTGCTGAGCGGGAACCCAGTCCCTAACCGCTGGCGCCCCTCGAGGGGAGGGGCGAGGGCGGAGGTGGTTCTGCGGCGGCATCTGTCCCAGGCGGGCGGGAAGCTGCTGCATTAAATTGTAAAATCGATTTATTGACCGGCAGGTGCGAGCAGCGGCAGATGGAGAGTAGCGCTGCCGGGGCGCATCTGCGGGGGAGCGGCAGCATCGATCTTGGCCCCCCTCTGAAACCGTCCGTCCTGGGCCTTTCTGTCGGTTCACTCCCAACTGCAGGGCCAAGGTCCGAGAAACTGCGGCGCCTAAATGGCTAGGGTAGCTCGATTCCCTTCCAACCCCCTTCTGGCCGCAGGAGCCCGGGCTGCGCCCCCACGGCTGCCAGGCTCTGCCAGCCCCACTGCCCCAGTTGGCACGCGGCGGGCAGGGCTGACGCGTGGCAGCGGCCTGCGGCAGATGAGGCACGCGCCGGCCTCATTTCAATGTGAATGGATCGAATGGAGCAGCCATGTGGCAGCAACAGTTTGCAAATCTCTCCGCCTTCTGTGCAGCTCCCGGGCCGCGGCTCCCTGCACGTGACCCCTTCTCCGCAGCGACCGCAGCGGCGCCCCTCAAGGCTTAAGGGCCCCGCCCCAGCCAGGCCTGCTTCCCCGCCCCCAGCCTGCCCAGCGGGTGCGGTGGCCCCGACCCATGGGGCAGTGTGCTCCGTGGACAGCGCTGTCCCCTGGGAGATATGGCAGGGAGAGGAGGGGTAAATTCGCGCTGGAGGCCTCGGAGCTGCGCCCGAGGTCCCGGGGAGGTTTCACAGACTACCAGCCGACGACGAGTCCCGAGGCTCAGCCAGGTTCCTGCGTGCGCCAGTAGCCTGGGATCAGTCTGGGGGCAACCGAGATCAGTCCCCATTCCCAAGTGCTGGTTCCGCCTGATGTGGCGACTGTGAGCAATGGCGTGCGAAGTGACCAACAGGAGGAAAAGCAAAGTAAAAAGGCTCGAGGGAGGGCGGCTGGTAGCCTTGGGAGGCCTCCACCCTGCACCGGCTTCAGACACTGGGCAGTGTGGCAGGTGCACTGGGGTTGAGGAGCCGTGGACGCAAGGAAGGCCGGCAACCTGTGGGAACCCAGGTCGGTGGGGCCCTGCAAGAGTCTGCATCAGAGGCAGGACAGCTGACTTTGACAGAAGTCCAGTTGCATGGTGATCTACTACCCTCCTGGCGCCTTACAGCCTCCTTCTCCTTTGAGCCCCCAGGATGCAGGTTGCATTGTTCCGCCCACAAGTAGCCAGTGGGAGAAGAGAGAAGCCCCAACTGTAGGGCAGGGAGAAACACTGAGCTCTCCCACTGTGGTTCTCTGTCTGCAGTGCGAGCCCTTCCTGCTAGCAAATGTGGGCAAAGCTTTATCCCAGCAGATGGGAACTCTAGTAGGTGCACAGGGCCAGGTGAGCTTCTGAGATAGCGCCCAGTGCAAACAGGTGCTTCTGGTGAGGAGAATAATTTAACACCTTCCTCCCGGGGTCAGAGGCCTTCTAGATCTCCAGCATTCCCTTGCACTGCCCATCTCTGAGGACAATAATGAGCTCAACTCTTGTTTGGTCCATGACTATTTGCAAAGTGCTTTTGGGCACATTGGTCCAGGTATATAAGGATAGAAAATGTTCCAGCTGTGCCAGCATTAATAGAGATGCCTCCTGTAAGAAGATGTCTCCCTTGGGGGTCACGCAGGTGCCAACGCTAGAAAAAGAGCATGTTCCTAAGAACTCGGCCAGGATTTTTGGATGGGAGCCGACAGAACTAGATGGGGCTGAATGCCAGCTCCGAGGAGAGCGAGGTGCACCCTCTGGCATGTTAGGCAGATCTAGGGATCCATTGAATATGTGCGGAGAGAGGATCTCGAAGCCCACTTGCCAGGATCGCCGGGATGCACGCCCCGGGCTCCCCCTCCTTCGGGCCTGGGACTCCGCCTGCCCATAACCTACATTAACTCTGAGCACAGCCTGGGCCCATCTGCCGGCCCCCGCCCAACCTCAGTTCCCCACGCCAACCCGCTCGCGCCAGATGGTGGCTGGGAGGGGTGGCCGTGCGTGGGGGACCCCCGAGCCCTTCTCCTCACCTCGCCCCTCCCCCAACCCACGCTCCCAACCTCTTGTTTCTCATCCTTTTCCCCCAATCCTCCATCACCACCATCCAAGTCAAAAAATCAGACCATGCTTAGCATCGGCAGCTGTTGGTCTCCACACACAACCCCCCCCCGCCGCCGCCGCGGCCTCCCCGGGGCCCGCGCCGCGTCCCCGCTCCCCCCGCACTGATCTTATCGTCCGACGACAGCCATCACCACGCGGGCCTGCTGACAACTGAAGCCACAGGGCCCCCGCCGCCCTCAGCGTCTCAGAGAGAGAGCTCCCCGGCATCCCCGAGGCTGGGAGAAGCCGGCCCTCCCTAGTCTGAGGCCTCCAGGGATCACGCCGGGTTCCGGGAAAGCAGCTGCGCCGCTGCCGCTCGGAGTGAGGCCACCCGGGAGAGCCGCGCAGGCGAGATGGGTGAAGCCACTCGAAACTCAGACAACTCCATGCGCCGTCAGTTCCACCCTTACATCCTACCCTATGAGAAGGCTAGGGCCTGTCGGGCCTTAGCCCCTCACCTTGACTCTCTAGTGGCCCGAGGCAACTCTGGAACTAGAAGAGTTCCTCCCCGCCTCAGCGGAGCAAAGGGACGCGGGAGGGGGCTTGGGGCTGCTGGGGTGGGGGAACAGGGTGGGCGATGGAGCTGAAGTGGGACCCAGGTGAGGGAGGCCCTGGAGGAGGGGCCGGAACCTTATTACCATACAGCTGAGGACGCGCCCCCCTCCTACCTCCCGGGCCACGCCCCTCCTTCCCCCATCTCTGGGACCAAGCGTCTAGGCGCTGGCACGAGCCAAGCCCTGGCGCGGGGTGGGGGTAGAGGGGAGCAGGCACGCGCTGGGCACGCCCCGCAGCTAGAGAGGGAGACGCCCACCAGGTGCAGGGAGAGAGACCCGAGTCTTAGACGCTTGATCGAGTGGCTCCGGAGAGTTTAACGCGTCCGCTGGCTTCCCCGCTGCGCTGGGGACTCGTGGTGGGTGGGCGCTTGTTAGGTTGGAGGCTGACGAAGCGAGGGTTCCCGAGGCTCTGGGAAGGAAAAGAAGGAGATCGGAGTCTCCAGACGCTGGGTTTCACTTTCCGGTCTTAAATTCTTTTTACCTGCTGGAGGACTGTAGGTAACTAGCGCCTGCTACTGATGCACCGCCTACGGGGACTCCCTAGTGTCTCCGCCCCCCAGACCATCCGGGAACCACCCGCTCACCTCCCACCCCATCCCCCGGCCACTCTCCCATCCTCTGGCACCCAAGGTCTCAGCCCTTAACCAGGCGATCGCCGAGGACTGGTCATCCACACGCGCAGAGCTGGGGCGCCGAGGGGTTTGGAGAGGAACCGAGGGGCGGAGACCTGAGTCCGACTGGCTGGCAGCGAGGGGGAGCGGCGGGGGCGGAGGCCCCCTCCGGTCGGTGCTGGGACTGTAGCAGCTAGAGGCTGGGAGGGGAGGGGAGAGTGACCATGAGCCTGTCTGACTGACAGGCGGCGAAGAGAGGAGCCAATATATATAAGAAAGGCTCCCGAGCGCGCAGGTTTCAGTCGCGGCGCTGCGCGCTGGCCAGGAACACGAGGCCAAGAGCTGCAGCCCAAGCCGCTTCGGTGTGGTGTACCCCGCACTAGCCAGCTTGCGGCCCCAGGATTAGTCCGAGGACACGTCCTTAGCACGGCCGCCTCCCAGGCGACCTCACCTGGATTACCTACCGAGGCAACTGCAGCGGAGCTAGCGAGAAGGCGACAGGGAGCAGCGTCCCGAGAGGAGCCAGCTTTTCAGGGATACCGCTGGCGGGAGGACGCGCGGGAAAGCGGCATTCCCAACAGAACCAGATTCAGGGCCGGCGGGTGGAGAGAGCGACACCCCAGGGGATGGCGGCCGCGTCCCGGAGCGCCTCCGGCTGGACGCTACTGCTGCTGGTGGCACTTTGGCAGCAGGTAACGTCCCGCGCCCTCTCCGCCCCCTCCCGCCGCGCTCTGGGCCCGAGCCTCGGCGCCAGCTGAGCTGACCGCTCCCCTCCCTCCTTCTCTCCGACCCTGTGCAATAGCGCGCGGCCGGCTCCGGCGTCTTCCAGCTGCAGCTGCAGGAGTTCGCCAACGAGCACGGCGTACTAGCCAGTGGGCGGCCGTGCGAGCCCGGCTGCCGGACTTTCTTCCGCGTCTGCCTTAAACACTTCCAGGCGGTCCTCTCGCCCGGGCCCTGCACCTTCGGTAGCGTCTCCACGCCAGTATTGGGCACCAACTCCTTCGCCATCAGGGACGACAGTAGCGGCGGGGGTCGCAACCCTCTCCAACTGCCCTTCAACTTCACCTGGCCGGTGAGCACAGTCTGGGTGCACTTGGGAGGTCACGGAAGCCGAAAGAAGGGAGCACCCTGGGGCCAGAGCCCCTTCCCTAGATTTCTTCCTCCAACTCCCCGCGGGAGCCTAGGGACGCGTTCTCTTCTGGTCCTTTTCTTTTCGATTCTCTCCTGGGACCTCATCCCGAAGAAGCTCAAACCAGTCTGTCTTCCGAGGTTCATGCCCTCCCTTCCCCACAGCTCGAGGGACACGATTTTCATTGCCTATCACCCTGGTGTTCCCCTCCCCACTATGCCTCTCACTTACACTCCCTCATCCCTCCCCGCGTCCCGCGCTACACTGCGCACAGACCCGTTATGTTGACCCGGTTGCAGTAACTGTATCCTGCAATTAGATTAATTAAACCGGCTGCCGCAAGGCACCCCCTCCCCTCCCGCCCTGCTCATCTCGCTATCTCTCCGTCCCCCACCCCTTTCGTTTCCCAGGGTACCTTTTCCCTCATCATCGAAGCTTGGCACGCGCCGGGAGACGACCTGCGGCCAGGTGAGTAGCTCACTGCTCAGCCACAGGGGGGCGACACCGCGCAGCGCCGAAAGAGTTAACCTGTGGGAGGAGGGGGAAATGCGGGGCTGGGGGTGGGGGGCAGGACGCTTAGCTTGGCCCAGAGCTGCGCCCCGCGCTGGACGCTCGGATTCCGCTCGCTGCCTGGACTCAGAGCACAATTGCGTTTCCTGCGGGTTATTTTTGGCGTGGGAACGCGGGGAGCACGGCGGTGAGAAAGGCCGAAGCTGCCAGCGCCGCTGACGGGCCCCTTCCTGTATTTTACACCTTTCGCGAATTCCGCTTCTTTGGAAAGGGAATAATGGCTTTGGGATGTTGTTCTGACACAGAGGAAAAGGATATTTCAGCAGCACAACAATTCTCACTTTGAAAAGGAAAAAGTCAACCATTACCTACCTCTGGGGCCGAACCCCTGAGCAGGCACCAAAGGACCCCCTGCTCTCATCCTCAGACTAGCAAGCTTTTCTTTTTCCAGATTCTTTATCTCCCACCTCCCCCCATTTTGACCTCTCTTCCTCTTTCGCCCCATATCTGCCTCTAGAACACTTGGAGAGATTAACAACCTTCTATTGTCCCGTTTTTGAATGCTGAATGTGTGGGTTGCACATGCCCACACGCAGGGCAGCTAAGCAGTAGGACTCTTGGGTCCCTCTATCCTGTGCTTGCTGGCAGGTGGGGGTCATCTGGACACCTAGGCTGATTGTGGCTAACCACATGGTCACAGCCAAGTAGGCACTGGGCAGCAGTCACGGGCACTTCTGGGGACAGGCTGCCCTTCCCTGACCTGCCCCTCTGCCCCTCAGAGGCCTTGCCACCTGATGCCCTCATCAGCAAGATGGCCATCCAGGGCTCCCTAGCTGTGGGTCAGAACTGGTTACTGGATGAGCAAACCAGCCCCCTCACGAGGCTGCGCTACTCTTACCGGGTCATCTGCAGTGACAACTACTATGGAGACAGCTGCTCTCGCCTGTGCAAGAAGCGCAATGACCACTTCGGCCACTACGTGTGCCAGCCAGATGGCAGTCTGTCCTGCCTGCCCGGCTGGACTGGGGAGTACTGTGAACAGCGTAAGCAGCTAAGCCCCCACCTGAATGGAGGGATCCCCAAGCAAGTACTGTGGGGTTGAGTCTTTCTAGCACAGCTGTGGGATGCTGAGGGGTCTTAGTCTCCAGAGCTCCTCCCCACCGTGCCAAAGCCCACAAGGATCCCCACAAAAGCACATCCTACATGAATCCTACTGCAGCGTGCTGTCCTTTCCCTTTAAGATCATCCTGGCTCATCTGGAGGCCCCGAGTGGGAAGTGAGCCCAGGAGAGCAGGGGCACCCCCAGGCCTGGAAAGGAGAGTGGGCTTCAGAGTGCATGGCACCCCAACCTCATCCAGCCCTGTCTTCTTTCCTCAGCAATCTGTCTGTCTGGCTGTCATGAACAGAATGGTTACTGCAGCAAGCCAGCTGAGTGCCTGTGAGTAGGGGACAGACGGACAGGAGGAGGGGCCCTCCCCAGCCAAGCCTCCCACCTCACTCTCAGCCTCCCTTTTGTCCTACAGCTGCCGCCCAGGTTGGCAGGGCCGCCTGTGCAATGAATGTATCCCCCACAATGGCTGCCGCCATGGCACCTGCAGCACCCCGTGGCAGTGTACCTGTGATGAGGGCTGGGGAGGCCTGTTCTGTGACCAAGGTGAGTCAGGGAGGAGATGGGTCAGGGGCTGGAATCAGAGATGATGCCTGGACCTTTCTTAGTGATTGCGAATTTCACTTTCCCAATAGCCTTGAAGAATCTTGGCACTTTTTTTTTTTTTTTTTTTTGGTGGTGCTGGGAACAGAATTCAGAGCTTTGCACACACTAGTCAAGTAGTCAAGTTCTCTTCCACCTCACTACATCCCAGCCCCATCTTGGGGACTTTTTAAAGGGTCTTTACAATTGCCCTAGAATGAGATGGTGGGCTCCTCTTGTCCAGGTGCTAGGGAGCCAGGGTGGCTTCAGAAGCCAGGAGGGTGACAGATTGGCAGCCTGGAAGTTGCACTCATAAATTCTAGCAAGGCCAAAGCGAGAGAGATGCCAGGCTTAGTTCCTCTTTCTGCCTTGTAGTTACCTATTAACCCCTGGGTGTTTGCTTACCTTCCAAGGCTGTTTGAGCAGCTCTCCCCTACACAGCTGTCTGGTGGGGTGTGCCTACTGGCCACTCCGGACAGACAGAGCGATGTCTAACTGACTTTTCTGTGTGGGCACAGCCTCCTGCTTTTCCGCAGTAGCACCTGCCAGGCAGCTGCCTGGGCCCACACAGTCTGTGCCTGATATTTGGGGGTCAATTACTCTTCTGCTTACACAGGGTTCTTGGAGCCCCAACCTTGAGGGAGGGAGCCTTTTCTTCTGCATCCTAGTTGCCAGCTGTAGCCTCCCATTTTCAGGGACAAGCAGTGTGCCTGCTGCCATGGAGACACCACACAGGCCTGGGGAGGGTGGGAAGGGCTTTGCCAGAAAGAGCCCGCAAAGGCTCTGACTTACCGCCAATGAAGGTGTGGGATTCAGACCTTGTATTCTGTGTGTGTTTGTATGTGGTATATGGTGTGTGTGTATGTCTGGTGTGTTTGTATGTGTGGTGTTGTGTGTGTGTGTGTGTGGTGTTTGTATGGTGTGTGTGGTGTGTGTGTGTGTTTGTGGTATGGTGTGTGGTGTGTGTGTGTGTGTAGTGTGTGTGGTACGTAGTATATGTGGTGTGTGGTGTGTTTGTGTGGTGTGTGTATGTGTGGTGTGTAGTGTGTGTGGTGTGTGTATGTGTGGTGTGTAGTGTGTGTGGTGTGTGTGTATGTGTGGTGTGTAGTGTGTGTGGTGTGTGTGTATGTGTGGTGTGTAGTGTGTGTGGTGTGTGTATGTGTGTGTGTAGTGTGTGTGGTGTGTGTATGTGTGTAGTGTGTGTGGTGTGTGGATGTGTAGTATATGTGGTGTGTGTATGTGTGGTGTGTAGTATGTGTGTGGTGTGTGTATGTGTGGTGTGTAGTGTGTGTGGTGTGTGTGGTGTGTAGTGTGTGTGGTGTGTAGTATGTGTGGTGTGTGTGTATGTGTGGTGTGTAGTGTGTGTGGTATGTGTATGTGTGGTGTTGTGTGTGTGTGTGTGGTGTTTGTATGGTGTGTGTGGTGTGTGTGTGTTTGTGGTATGGTGTGTGGTGTGTGTATGTATGTGGTGCGTTTGTATGGTGTGTGTGTGTATGTGTGTAGTGTGTGTGGTACATAGTATATGTGGTGTGTGGTGTGTGTGTGTGTGTGGTGTGTAGTGTGTGTGGTGTGTGTATGTGTGGTGTGTTTGTGGTGTGTATGTGTGGTGTGTAGTGTGTGTGGTGTGTGTATGTGTGGTGTGTAGTGTGTGTGGTGTGTGTATGTGTGGTGTGTAGTGTGTGTGGTGTGTGTGTATGTGTGGTGTGTAGTGTGTGTGGTGTGTGTGTGTGTGGTGTGTGTGTGTGTGGTGTGTGTGTGTGGTGTGTGTACATGTGGTGTGTAGTGTGTGTGGTGTGTGTATGTGTGGTGTGTAGTGTGTGTGGTGTGTGTGTGTGTGGTGTGTTTGTGTGGTGTGTATGTGTGGTGTATAGTGTGTGTGGTGTGTTTGTATGTGTGGTGTGTAGTGTGTGTGGTGTGTGTATGTGTGGTGTGTAGTGTGTGTGCGCGTGTGTTTGTCTCTGTCCTCTCAGCCCTCTCCCCAACACATGCACACCTGGTTCCTGCTGGTTCTCTGCGCTCAGTCCACATTTGCTCCCAGGTGACACAGGCATACACTCATCATGTGCAAACACAGCCCTTACAGCCCCATATTTGCTCTGTCTGGTTTTCCTTCCCTGTTCTTCTCCAATAAGAAAACAAATACTTATCTTTCAAAATACCCTTTTAACACCTCCTCCTTTAAGAAACTCCTGGTCATTACCTATGGTGGCTCTTGTCTCCCCCTCTCCCCTTTCCACCTGTTGGAATTTTACTCCTCCTTCCAGGCTTATCTCTGCTCCCCTTCCTCCTTGAAGCTGATTCTGACTTCCTTGCTGACCCAGGCCTTGCTCTCCTCTTCCTCCTTTTCATCCTACTCTGACTGGCAGTGTTTATGAGCCTACCTGGTAGGACATTGTCCAACTGTGGTTTTCAAGCTTGATTAACTTTAATGGTTATACATGCTTCCAGATGCTTCACCATTTGTGATTTCATTGGCAGGGGAGGAAGGCTATTTGGGTCTGGAAGACTGAGTTGAAGCCTCTTTGAGCCAAACATGGGGTGACCTAGTGGCTGGAGCCTGGAGGTGGAGTGTTCCCAGGCCTCGCTCAGTTGGTTGCTTTCTGTCTCACAGATCTCAACTACTGTACCCACCACTCCCCATGCAAGAACGGGGCGACATGCTCCAACAGTGGGCAACGGAGCTACACCTGCACCTGTCGCCCAGGCTACACTGGTGTGGACTGTGAGCTGGAACTCAGCGAGTGTGACAGCAACCCTTGTCGCAATGGGGGCAGTTGTAAGGTGAGGCCCAGACCAACACAGAAGAGCAGATGTCTTTAGCCAGGGGGCAGCTAGGCAGCCACCATGGGCAGGCATTGTGGGCTGCAATTCCTATCCCCCTGGCTCTGACTTTGACCCCTTCCTGGTGTCTTTCTAGGACCAGGAGGATGGCTACCACTGCTTGTGTCCCCCGGGCTATTATGGCCTGCACTGCGAACACAGTACCTTGACCTGTGCTGATTCCCCCTGCTTCAATGGGGGCTCCTGCCGGGAGAGAAACCAGGGGGCCAGCTATGCCTGTGAATGTCCCCCCAACTTCACTGGCTCTAACTGTGAGAAGAAAGTGGACAGGTGCACCAGCAACCCATGTGCCAATGGTAAGTCCTGCCACCTTGCCAACCCACTGGACTGGCCCTGGGGCAAGAGAGCCTTCTGGTGAGGGAGGGTAAAGAGAGGATAGAGGCCTGACTGTCACTCTGGGCAGCCCAAGATGGCTCCCTTTTGCTCTGGAGGGTGAAGATCTTGCTTGATTGGCTAGGAGACTTTGGAGGAGGAGCAGGTTAGCAGCAGCCCTTAAGTGAGGAGATGGTGTTCACCCTGCATGACTTCTATTCCTATTCCCATGGCAAAGCCTTGACTTGACTAGGGTGGCCCCTGAGAGAGGGATGTTGGAGGCTCTACATCCTTCTATGAGGGAGGCCAGTGATGTGGTCAGAACCTTGCCCGTGGAGGCCTCCTTTTACCTCATACACACATGGTGCATAGCATGGCATAAGTCTTCTAGACCGTTCAGCATCTTTTGGGGCACAAAGCATGTTGGTAATCCTTGTGGACTTTGGCCTCCAGGTGAAACAGTCAAGACTGTCAAGACAGTGCCCAGAAGCTCAGAGCTGGAGAGGGGCTGGGAGGGGTGGCATGGGCTCTGCTGTCACTGGACTCTCTGAGCCACAGTTTCTTTATCACTGAATGGGAAAATGTAATACCTGTCCCCTGTCTTTGGTGTGGTGTGAAGATGAAATTGAATGATGACAACTACATTGCCTTGAGCATTTACCAAACACCATCATGTGTTCTTGCTTTCATAAACCTTCCTAGAGCTGGAGAGGGGCTGGGAGGGGTGGCATGGGCTCTGCTGTCACTGGACTTCTCTGAGCCACAGTTTCTTTATCAATGAATGGGAAAAATGTAATACCTGTCCCTGCTTTGTGTGGTGTGAAGATGAAATTGAATGATGACAACTACATTGCCTTGAGCATTTACCAAACACCATCATGTGTTCTTGCTTTCATAAACCTTCCTATCTGAACCTCAGCCATCCCGTGAAGAGGAGACTGGGGCTTAGGGGTAAGGCAAAGTGACAGGTGCTAGGTTCCCTGTCAGAGAGGGTCAGCTGAGAGTCAAGCCCAAGCTTATATGTCTGATTCTAAAGTTCTGCAAGATGCTAGTAATTTTTTGTTTTCCAGATTTCTTATGAATGACACTTTTTTTTTTTTTTGGTGGCACCGGGGTTTGAACTCAGGGCCTCAACGTTTGCTGGACAGGTGCTTTTACCTCTTGAGCCGCTCCCCCGCCCCATTTTTGTGATAGGGTGTCCTGAACTATTTGCCCAGGAATGGCTTTGAATAGGACCCTCCTGATCTCTGCCTCCTGAGTAGCTGAGATTACAAGCGTGAGACATCGGCACCCAGCTTGAATGACATTTTTTAAAAAACATTTTATTTTTAGTATCATATTGTTGTTGCGTGTGGGATACACTGTGACATTTACAAAAGTGCTTACAGTATATCTTAGTTAAATTTACCCCTCCATCATCCTCCTTTACTCCCCCTCCCCACTAGTAATTCCGATGCATTGAAGCATAGAATGCGAGGGTCACCCCAAACACGGGTCTCCTGAGTATTTATACAGTTCTCTCTCATATTCTTTTTTTTTTTTTAATTTTTTGAGGCAGTACTGGGGTTTGAACTCAGGGCCTCCTGGTTGCTAGGCAGGTGCTCTACCCCTTGAACCATGCCCCCAGCCCTGCACTGTTCTCTCTGTAGTGGGCTCTGTCTGTGCTGGTCACCTGCATGGAGGCAGAAGGGCCTGAGCTCACTTTTGGGATGGGGAGCACCCCACGTCCTGCACCAAGGAATTCCCAGGCTATTGCTGATTTATGTCCTGTGTCCTTACAGGGGGCCAGTGCCTGAACAGAGGTCCAAGCCGCACATGCCGCTGCCGGCCCGGATTCACGGGCACCCACTGTGAACTCCACGTCGGCGGTGACTGTGCCCACAACCCTTGCGCCCATGGCGGCACTTGCCATGACCTGGAGAATGGGCCCGTATGCACCTGCCCTGCTGGCTTCTCTGGCAGGCGCTGCGAGGTGCGGATGCCCAGCGACGCCTGCACCTCGGGGCCCTGCTTCAACGGGGCCACCTGCTACACTGGCCTCTCCCCGGACAACTTCGTCTGCAACTGCCCGTATGGCTTCGTGGGCAGCCGCTGCGAGTTCCCAGTGGGCCTGCCGCCCAGTTTCCCCTGGGTGGCTGTCTCCCTGGGCGTGGGGCTGGTGGTGGGGCTGGTGTTACTGGGCATGGTGGCAGTGGCTGTGCGGCAGCTGCGGCTTCGGCGGCCAGATGATGGCAGCAGGGAAGCCATGAACAACTTGTCGGACTTCCAGAAGGACAACCTGATCCCTGCTGCCCAGCTCAAGAACACAAACCAGAAGAAGGAGCTAGAGGTGGACTGTGGCCTGGACAAGTCCAACTGTGGCAAACAGCAGAACCACACATTGGACTATAACCTAGCCCCAGGGCCCCTGGGACGGGGGACCATGCCTGGAAAGTATCCCCATAGTGACAAGAGCTTAGGGGAGAAGGTGCCTCTGCGGATACACAGGTAAGCAGCACCTGGAAGGACCTGGACATGGACCCTACATGATCTTGCCCAGTCTACTAGGCTGGGTTGGAGGTTGACATCAGGCTCTGAACTGCTTTTAAACAAATTAGGTGTTTTTTATTTTTTTTTGAGATAGGCTCTTGCTATGCAGCCCAGGCTAACCTTGAACTCATGACCTTCCTGTCTCAACCTCCTGAATGCTGGGATTACAGGCTTGAACCACCACTTCCAGATATACAAATGGGCCTCTATTACTGACAGCAGCATCCCCCAACAAGGATTTCTGTTAGGGAGGCAAGTGTGATGGTACACACATGTAATCCCACCTACTCAGGGGGCTAAGGGAAGAGGATTGTAAATTTGAGGCCAGCATAGGCAAGATAGCAAGATCCCCAACTCAAAAAAAAAAAAAAAAAGATTTCTGTTAGTTTGCTAGGGAAGACCCTCTCAGTCATTCATTCACAAATGTCAAGTGTCCACAGCGTGTCTCTGTGACTTCCATCTTTCTGTTATATGACTTGCCTCTAGTGGCAATGCTCACTTCTAGGCCCATGACCTTTCTAGTTTGGTTAGGGTCCTGTGGCTCTCCTACAGGTCTGTTCCTAACTGCCCTCCACACCCCCCCAAAAAAAAAAGAGGCCAGCACTGGCACCTCCAGCTCAGGTCTTCTCCATGAACCACCTCTGCACGTGCCCTTTGGCTTTCCAGTGTCCAGATTAACATCCCTGCCCCCACCCTAGCTTCTTCCTACCCCTCCTCCCTCTCTCATGCTCACCTGTCTTGTGTTCCCTCAGTGAAAAGCCAGAGTGTCGAATATCAGCGATATGCTCCCCCAGGGACTCCATGTACCAGTCTGTGTGCTTGATATCAGAAGAGAGGAACGAATGTGTCATTGCCACAGAGGTGAGTGCTGTGCTCACCTTCTCTGCCAGCATGTCCCATCCTGCCTGTTGTGGATAGCAAAGTGGCTTGGTCACTCCTGAAGTCACTCGTGGGCCACTCCTGAAGGATGGGTCAGAAACCTTCCTTGGCAAGCCATGTTCAGTGGCTTTAGGTCCTTGCTGGCCTTGTTGCCACAGAGGGTGTGAAACGGGAGCCAGGTGGTGCACCTGGCCTGTCTCTCCAGCTCTGTGGGTGTCAGGCAAGGCAGCATGGCACTGCTTCCCAGACAACCACCTCATAAGCACAAACTCCATACATGCATGTATGCATGTGTGTGTGTGTGTGTGTGTGTGTGTGTGTGTGTGTGTGTGTGTGTGTGTTGGGGCAGAAAACCAAGAAGACTGTCCCCTTCCCTGCATTCCTGCCTACCCCATTGGCTTCTCCTGGGGAGTCCAGTGCAGCTCTGGACTGCTTGTGCCCAGGTAACCCATGTCATGCTTCGTTCATGCTCTCCAGGTATAAGGTATGAGCCTCTCCAGAACAGCCCAGCTTCCGCCCAGCAGCTGGACCTTCCTTCTGCATTGTTTACATTGCATCCTGGATGGGACGTCTTTAATATGCACCGTGCTGCTCTCAGGAGGAGGAGGGAATGGCATGAACTGGACAGACTGTGAACTTGCCAGGAGATGCACTGCCCAGCACACCTGTGGGAGTCTGGCTGGCATCAGACTGGCAGCTCCTCTAGACGGGGTAACAGAGTTGAGGAGCCAGGGGAATACCAGTTGAGCTGGTTTCCAAGGTGCCACTTGGACCTGCTCTGCCAGCAGTGGACTTCACTGGGCTTCTTCTGGAGCTCTGGCCTGTTTTCCAGGGAGAGTGGCAGTAGCCCTCTGGGGCTCAGAGCTGCTGTGGCCACCACTGGCATCTGTGTTTCCAAAAGTGCCTTTGGCCCAGGCTCCATAGTGACAGCTGGGCCCAAATCAGAAAGGAGAAAGGAGCAGGCAAGGGCTGGGTCGCCTGGGGCAGGAAAGTCACTGGGTACAGCTCTTGGCAGGGATTCCGCTTCAGGTGAGGTGAGCACCTGAGGGGACAGGAGTGCTTCTCTGCCTCTAGTTGCTGCGTGTGGGCCTTGCTCGGATGCTGGCCAGCCTCTCCTTGGCTTAGGCCCTCTGGGCATGAGTTGGTAGATCTTACCGGGCTTCCACCATCCTCTGGCCCTGGGTGCCTCTGGGCTCCTGTGAGCAGATGGGCTGAGGGCCTACCCCTTCTGCCAGCCAGGGGGGCCAGGCCTAACTGGGGAACTCAGGGCAGTTATATTGGAGATTCCAGTGAGGGAGAAAGTGGGTGCTGCCACCACCTGGGCCCTTTCCTCCCTCAAACCCATTCCTATGACCTTGAGCCGGGGTCTGCCCATGCCTGCTAAAGTCCCCGGACTACCCTCGAAGCCGATCTTCAGAAATCAATAATATGAGTTTTTATTTTGTTTGTTTTTATTTGCAGTTTATTTTGGATTCTAGTATTTCGATAATTTAAGAATCAGAAGCACTGACCTTTCTACATTTTATAACATTATTTTGTATATAATGTGTATTTATAATATGGAACAAGTGTGTACAGGAGTTTATTACTTCTCGGGTCCTGTCTTTGTGATGGCAAATGGGAATTTTTCTCTCTGCTTTCTCCCCCCAAAGGCTCCTAACCCCCTTTTCCCAGGGCTGCGGAGCGCGCCACTGGGATCTGCGTCCATGCTTAGGTTCGTCAGGGTGCGTGAAGAATCCTTGTTGCAGTCCAGTACTTGGGGAGCCCAGCCTCAACCATCACATCCCCAGCATAGGTAGCCTGCCTTGCCTGAGGCTGCCTCCCGACTTCCCCCTTTCCCTCCATTCTTGGGTAATATCCCGCTGATTGGCGGAGTCTTCCTCTCTTCCCCCAAAACTGAAGCTTATGGGGCTCCCCAGTCCCATCTGTGTTTCTCTTATTCAAGAGGTGGTGGGCCACTAAGTCCCCACTGGGTCCTTCCTTTTGCCACTGGGAGTTTTAGATGGACTGCTTGGGTTTTTTTGTTTTTGCGGTACTGGAGTTTGAACTCAGGGCTTCATGCTTGCTAGGCAGGCGCTATACTACTTGAGCAACTCTGCAGCCCTTTTTTGTGTTGGGTATTTTCGAGATAGGGTCTCATGAATTATTTGTCCAGGCTGGCTTTGAACCTTGATCTTCCTGATCTCTGTCCCTCCAGTCTCTGCCCCTAAACCCCGCAATAGCTAGGATTACAGGTGTGAGCCACTGGTGCTGGGCTCATCCTGCCCTTTTCTCAGCCCCATTGGGGAACTCGTCTGGGATGGGGGATTTGCCTTGGGGTTGTCCTCCTTCCAGCTGGATAGAGACCTGAGGGTCAGGTCTCTGGTCTGCGGGAGTTTTTTGAAGACTGCAGGGAGGGGAGGAGTCGGAGCCTTCCCCGGGTCTCTCTGGCTGAGGCACTGATGAGGGAGTTTCCACTCTACTCCAGGCCCAGCTTCCTCTAAGGCCAGGATAGTCCCTAGGGTGCCTTAGTCCCTTCTCTATGGTCACAAACCTACCACACGGAGAGCAAATGATGACAAAGTGAGCCACTGACAAAAAGCTGAGCAGATGCTCCCAGTTCTTCTCTTATCCCCAGCAGCAATAGAACCACCAGAAGCCTCCCTCCTAGAGGAGTTCATGTACATGGAGTAAACTTGCCCTACCTTCCTTCTCTTTCTCCCTGACACAAACACAGCTTGCAGGCCTGGCCTGCGTGCCTGTGTGAGTCACAGGAGCATGCACACACTCCAAGCCTTGCTCATCGTCCCTGTTCCCTTCACTGCACACACAGGGTATCAAACAGGAAAGCATTCAGGGAACTGTTCCCACAGCCTGAGCTGGCTGAGGGGGAAGAACAACACGACCTCACTCTTCCTGCCCAAAATGAAACAGGAAAGCAGCTCCCGGGCCCTGGGGGGTGGGGGAAACTGGGCTGGGACAGAAGGCAAGATGACGAGGCTCCCATGTGGGGGACAGGTAGGATACCCGCAGGCCTGCACGTCCACACCATCAGGCTGTGCTGAGCAGCCAGACTGTCAGAGAAGAGTCCTGGAGGGGAGCTGGCTACTGGCTAAACCCACTCAAAGACATTGATACTGTAGACCAGGAGCTGTGACAGACCCCCCACCACCATCATGCTGGCTTTCTGGGCAAAGTGGGGACCCATGCATGAACTTGGGATGATCTGCTCCAACCTGTATCCCAGGTCAGGTTCCACCTCTAGCAACACAGCAGAAGCAGGGGGCCAGGCACTTGGGGTGTGAACAGACCACAATCCTCCATTGTAGGGATTTCCTGAAGGTCACCCCAAGGGTCCAGCCCTTTCCCACAACAGAGGTTCTCAAGGCTTTCCTAAACACCTGAATGTCCACATGTATGGAGGTCCTAGATGCTCTGGACTCACTGTGAAGTACGTTCAATGGGTTAGCAAATGCCCACATTCAGTTTGCATGCACATTTTACAAGAGAATTCAGAGCTTAGCAGCTCCCTAACAGCCTAGAGCCAGTGTCCTGCCTGCAGAATCCATCTGACCCCATGGTGACCTCCAGCCCTGAGGACAGCTGCTTTTCCAGGACTTCTTGGCTGGTGACCACCTGGAGGTGCGCTATGAGTTAGCGAGGGGTTGTGAAGAGGGGAGCAGAGGCCTCTCTTGGAAGAGTGCAGTAGCTTCACCTCTCCCCACTCAGGCTAGAGGAGGTCACTGGACTCATCCAAGGTAGTGCGGGGGTCCATCCGTGGGCTCCCCTTCCGCAGTTTACCTCGCCTCTCCCCGGGTGTCCACCGCAGGCATCTGCAGGCCCAGCCCTTTGCCCCACGTGGCCTGTCGCATTCCGGGAAGGAGATGGAAGTGATTCACTCAGGGAACTGTGACTGTCCCTTCCCGGGGAGGGGATGCGCCTGGGAGGTCCCAGCAGCCTTCTCCGGAGGCCCCCGCCTGCCCTTCGCGCCCGGCGGGGCCCGATGGCCTGCACGCATTCCGGCGAGGCCCGAGCGCCGGCGGAAGGGGCAGGTGCGCCCGCTGGCCCTGGCCCCGGCCCGCCCTCCACCTGCCGCGGTCGCCGGGCGCCCCGGGGCTCCCGCGCCTCCCGCCCTCGCGCTCTTTGTTACGGCCCGACTTCCTGTTTGCGGCCGGCGACCTCGGCTCACTTCCCGGGCCGGGAAGCCGCCGAAGGCCGCGAGTTTCTCGGAGCCTCGCCCGCCCGCTGGGCTCCGCCTCTGCCTCCCCGGGTCCCGCCCCCAGCCGGGAGCCCGCGCGGGGCCGCGGCCCCGGGAAGCCGGAGCCGCGGGCGGGTGGCCGGCGGGACCCGCGCCCGGCACGAGGGGGCGCTGTGCGGCCGTCGGGGCTGTCGTCCCGTCCGGGGCTCGCGCGATCGGCCCTGCTACGTCCGCCTGGGGACAGAGCAGCCGGAAGTCAAAATCAGTTCGCGTCTTTGTCCCGCGGAGCTCAGTCCAGGCTCCGTACCCCTAAGCTGAAGGGTAACCTGGAGGGATCCCCCAAATACCCTCCCGGTGTCCAGAGGAGCCGGGTTCCCTTCACCTGCAGCAGCCACCCGGTTGGCTCCGCCAGCCAGCTCCGCTCCCCACCTCCCAGCCCTCCTCCCACCTTCTACGCGGCCAGCCGGCTGGAAGGGAATGGGGACAAGGCTGGAAAGGGCTTGAGTTGGGGGCAGAAGCTCCCTTCCAGCACCAGCTCTTGTGGCCAGGTGATCTGGAACAAATCCATCCATTTCTTCGCTCCTTGAGCATCTGTGATAGATATTGGTGGCAAACCTGGTGTCTGGCCCGGGGGCACTGATCATCTAGTTCATTATAGTTATCCTCTTCAATGGTAATACCTCTCCTATTGCACATCGCTGATCAGGTTGAACGAGTGAATGCGCGAAAACGTTGTGGGCCCAGTTATAACCCTTGCCGTTTGGGTGGTCCTCCCGAGCACCTGCCAGCAGAACACATTCTGGAGCTTCCACTTCCGCTGCCGGCAGGGATGTGGGTTCTGCCGAACAGTCTCACTAGTAGCCCTAGGGCTCGGTAAGGCACATTAGATCCACCTGGCCTGTACTGTTGCGTCCCTTGTTTAGAATAAAAGGATGCTACAAAGGATCCAGATGAAGGGATGCATTGGTGAGGTATGAGGGAAGGGGCAAGGAGCTGCCATGCCCTCTCTGAGTGCACCACCCTCCAGGAACCGCCATGTGTTCCGCTATTGGAAAGTGCTCCAAATCTTGTCCTTAGGGGATTTTGAGGGTCCTTCATTTTGCAGGTATGACTAATGAAATCATTGGTGATCAACTCAACCTTCAGCCCCTGCCCCCCTCTCTGGGGTTGGAGGATGGGGCTGGAAGTGGCACCCTGTAATCCTGCTTAGGGACTGTCAGCCATCACTCAACTCATTAGTAAACAAAAAGGCGTTTGTTATTTGGAGATTTTAAGGGTTTTAGGAGTTGCCTACCAGGAAACTGGATGAAAAATTGCATGGTGTCACCAAGGCCAACAGCATCTCAGGGATCTAGATTTAGCAACAGGTGTGTGTAGGCCACCCTGTGTCAATGGCACCCCCTGCAGGTCAGAACCTCAGCCCTCCCACAGGTGGTCACTGGCTCCAGTGGGCCTGGCTCGAGCTGGGGGTTTGCTTGGCTGAGGATTGTGGTTCCTTTTCCTAAGTAGCAGATATCTGGGCAACACTCATCCTAATAGGATGACTAAACAAGTCTGTTTAGTTTTACACCTCTACCACTGATTCCCTTCCTTAGGTGCTTCTTCTTCTTTCTCTTGGTAAAGAGATCTGGAAGATTCTGGGATCTTGTTCCTCCCTTTAGTATTGGGCCCTGGGGCAATGGTGTTCTGGCCATTGTCATTTAAGGAGTTTCACTTCCATGGCTCTCTATGGCCCTTAGAGTCTGAGCCCATGGAGCAACAGTCAGACCTGTTGAACAGGATGTCTTCTAAAGTCAGGGCCCACCACAGTGCAGCATTTCCATGGTGTCTAACATTTGACCCTGGGTCCTTGCTCTGTGAACCCTGTCACTCCACCAAGATATTCCCCATTGCAGCTTCTCCCAGTCCTGCAGCCTGTCACCTCCTGTCCACATAGACTACACCTTCTTCTCTCCCTGAGACTGGGAGGGCTTCCCACCACTCTAACCCTCTGCTGGAAACCTGGCCCCTCCCCTTCCAGGAGGACTACCTGAGCCCTGAATCTCTAGAATACTGGCTGCCCAGAGGTGTCCTGTCAGCCAAGTCTCTCCTTCCTTAGGTGATAGAAAATGGCCAGGGAGCTAGGTTTTCCCACCATCACTTCATCTCATGCACCCTTTGGCAGGATATAGGTGAATCCTTATAGCTCCTTTGTGTGTGTGTGTGTGTGTGTGTGTGTGTGTGTGTGTGTGTTTAGAGACAGGGACAGAGCCTTGCTATGTAACCTAGACTGGTCTTGAACTCATGATGCTTGTGAGTGCTGGGGTTACAAGGGTGCACCTTCTGCCCCTAGCTCCTTACACTTTCTGCTTTTGAGGGCCAAGGGCTGAGCAGCTTCCACCCCTCAGGCCCTGGGTGCAGCTGGCACAACCAAAAGAACTGTTACCCGACACTTTCTTTTCTGAGGGGACTAAGGGAATTTAGGAAATGACACCCCCAAACATTTCACTTCCAACTGAAGTTACTTGGAGAATAACAAACATGGGGGTGCCCCCTCTCTGAAGTCCTCTTTCTGCCCACAGGTCCTCCAAAAGGAGCTCATGTGTTCTGAATCTGCCCCCCCATCTCATCAACCAGGGACAATTAAATTCATATCACAGGAGAGGACTCTGGAGAGCAATACCACACCCAGACAGATTTTATCACAGGCTGTCACTTGTTCTTCTGTGGGCCTCTTCATCTTTCTGCAAAATCATTTACTGTCTTCTATAGTATTTTATCCCCTCCCCCCTCTCCCCTGGGTTTTGGAGTATTCACTTTTCCTTCATGTGATGTCCCTGTGCACAAATAATTTGTACACCTTTTCTCCTGTTAGCCTGCCTACTATCAGATTATCTTGTAGGCTTGATTACCGAAGCCTCGGGGCAGAGACTCCACCACTCCATCTTCCCCTCCTTTTGCCAGAATGTTTGTAGGACCTGTGTCATCCTTACACATAGGCCAAAGACCTGAGGTCACACTAATCTCTCGGAGGTCTGTTGGAGGTAAGGTCCCTCACAGATTGTGGTTTATTTTATTAACTTATTTATTTATTTATTTTTGGTAGCACTGGAGTTTGAGCTCAGAGCTTTGTGCTTACCAGGCAAGTGCTCCACCACTTGAACCACGCCCCCCAGCCACTTTTTATTTTATTAACTTATTTTAGTACCTGCCACCCCCCCACACACACACACACGTAGCCGAAAAATTGCTCTCTTTGCTCAAGCAAGAGTTCTAGTAATTGCACACTTGGGTTGGACAGATTGGGCAGACTATTACCCAACCTGCTTTTTAAAAACACTCTTTCATCCGGGTGCCAGTGGCTCACACCTGTAATCCTAGCTACTCAGGAGGCAGAGATCAGGAGGATCGTGGTTCAAAGCCAGTCTGGGCAAAGCCCCTATCTCAAAAATACCCATCACAAAAAGGGCTGGTGGAGTGGCTCAAGGTGAAGGCCCTGAGTTCAAATCCCAGTACCAAAAAATAAATAAATAAATAAATAAATAAAAACACTCTTTTAGGGGCTGGGAGGGTAACTCTGTTGTAGAGTGCTCACCTAGCTAGCATGGGCATGGTTCAATCCCCAGTAGTGCAAAATAATATAAAATAACATTCCTTGAGTCCCTTATTTGCTGGAACAGTACATGAGTTGCCTGCCAAGACTGGAGGGTAACCGGTGATGGGAGTTCCTCCACTGAATCTGAAATGCTTACACTAATCACTCTCCTGAGCTGTGTCAGACAGAGAGAGACCATGACTCTGCCCTGGGTACAACGGCAAGTGTCACATCTGAGATAAAAATGATAAGGAGCCAACATTTACTGAAAGGTCTCATGGGCCAGACATCAGCTAAAGAGTTCTTACCACCCTCATTAGACTACAAGGTGGGTGTCATTACCATTACCCCCTATTTCAAAGTTGAGACAATTAAGAAACAGACACCACAGTGCCAGGGTGACCCGGCTGAGAAGCAGTAGAGCAGGGCTCAAATCTGAGCAAGCTGAAGAGCCATGCCCAGACAGGTTTTTGTTTGTTTGTTTTTCTCTTATTCATTGGAGCAGGCTTTTGATCTGGAGATCGGCGGTTTTATAAAGAATCTTCACCATTAAGCGAACGAATTGAACATAGCTCCAGAGCTCCAAAAACACATCCTTGTCTTCTTTGACATAATCACCCGTGCTAACAGCAGTCCTGCAGTGTCTGGAATGAGAAGTGAGGAGGCAAAGATCATAAGGAAGTGAGAAACAACCGCCAGAAGGGGAACAATAAGGAAAGATTAGTTTGGGAAGGGCCCAAAAGAGAAGTCACCACATGCACATCACGTGCAAATCAGGTGTGACTCTGCGAGGTGATCCTACGCCTATCCTGAGTGGGAGCCTTTTTGATCCTACCTGGGGGATTGTGGGAGGGAAGCTGGTGTCACAGTGAGGAGCCAGCTCAGTGGGTGGCTTACTGACTGCAGTGTCTGCTGGGAGGGAAACAAATGTTGGCATGGAGGGGCAAAGATGGGAACAAGAAAGACACGTTCATAGGAGGGTGTCAAAGGTCCCCTTGGCAACTGTTGGAGATGCCTACTTCAAGAGGGTCCTGGTTGAGCCTGTGTGATCAGCTCAGATGTTGTCCTGGCCTTTTCCAAGTAAGATCTTAACTTTTTTTTGTCTATTAACTGTGTGGCAATACTGTGCAGGTTCCTCTGGGTCTTCAAGGACTGAGCCCCGCTCAGAGAGGTCTGGGGTTAGAAGAAAGCTGGGTGCCAAATGATTGGCAGCAAAGAGGCTCCAAGCTCCACCACCTGCCTTCAGTCCAGGCTCCATGACTTACAGCTATGTCACTGTGAGTACATTACCTAACTTTCCTCTTTGCTTATCTATGGAAATGAGATTCATCCCCCCAAAGTAGCAGAGCGGTTTATAGTTAGAATAGATATAAAAGTGTTCAGCAAACTGCCTTACAGTGAGCATTCAATAAATGATTGCTTCTACTACAAGCATGATGTGGAAGAGACCGATAAAGACACAGATGTGACCTAAGGGATCATGGGAGCATAGAGACAGCGTGTCAAACTCTACTTGGATCCAGATTGGGTTTTGAGTACATCGCCAAGAGTTATGAAGACCTGGGGCTTTGGCTGGGGCGGAAGAGGTCTGAGTGAATATCATGGATGTGTTCCCCAGGAGCTGGCAATGGTGGCTTGTGCCTGCAACCCTAGCCTCTTGGGAGGCTAAGATTGGTAGGATCACACTTCAAGGCCAGCCCAGGCAAATAGTTCTCTGGATCCTATCTCCAAAATAACCAGAGCAAAATGGACTGGAGGTGTGGCTCAAGTGGCAGAGCAGCTGTTTTTCTGAATTTCAAACCATGATCCCACCAAAAAAAAAAAAAAAAAGAAAAGAAATATTCCCCAAGTGTCTATCTGTCATTCATCGGAAAAGCACTAGCTACTCTTTAAAAGTAACTTTTTATTATTGAAAAACTGCATTTCATAAAATTTGAAAACAGGGAAAAGACTCACTCTTAATACCAATCATACCAACCCCCTAACGCTAGTTTTTTGTTTGTTTTTTGAGGTACTGGGGTTTGAACTCAGGACCTACACCTTGAGCCACTCCGCCAGCCCTTTTTTGTGATGGGCTTTTTTGAGATAGGGTCTCAGGAAGTATTTTGTCTGACCTGGCTTTGAACCATGATCCTTCTGATCTCTGCCTCCTTAGTAGCTGGGATTACAGGTGTGAACCCCGGGTGCCCAGCCCTAACGTTAGTATTATATTTGAAGACACATCTTTATTCCTCTGTGCCTTGTTATTTTTTAACATGTTTTATCATGGCACAGGTGACAATTTGTATTTCGCATTTTCCCCTTACTATACAGTAAAAGACATTTTTTTTAAAGTTAGAAAAGAAACTTATGTTTCTTGTAAAGAATTCTGAGTTTTGCCAGGTACAGTGACTCATGTCTGTAATCCTAGCTAATTGGGAGGCTGAGATCAGGAGGATGGAGGTTTGAGGCCAGCCCAGGCAAGAGGTATGGCTGTAATGGTATGGCATCTTCTTTGCAAGCATGAAACCTGGAGTTCAAACCCAGTCCCACAAAAAAAAAAAAAAAAAAAAAGGAATCCAGACTTTATCATAAATTTGTATTTATTTTATTTTTTGAAACAGGGTCTCGCTTTTAATCCAGGCTGGCTTCCAACTTGAGGTCCTCCTCCTTCAACCTCCCAAGTGCTGGGATTACAGTCCCATGCTACCATGCCTGACTTTGAATTCAATGTTGAAAATCCTTTGACGTCAGCCTCTGCTTACACCATAGGTACCATCTTCTGGGTTATATCTTACACAAATACTACTGGGCAACATGGTTTTGTTTTTAAAGAAACAGCTTCACACAATACACAGACATGTCTGGAATGCGCACGTCGTGTGCAGATCATTTTTAGCTTACATTAGAAGTAATGTTGCCTGTTTTTCATGCTTCAGGGCTCATCCACACCTCAATAGCAGTCTCCCCAGTCAGTTTCTCCAGAAGGCTTCCTGCTGCCTCTGTTTCCCTTTTGCAGTCAGACATCCCAGGGGGCAGCCCTTATTTAGGGAGTCAACACCTGGCGCCTATGGACCCTCCACCCAGCGGCCTGTAGCTGTTTACAGCTCTCAGGGGGCTTGAATTGGGACCTTCTTGCACAAAGCTTCCAGAACCTCTCTAAGTATTAACCATTGCTACAAAATCTCAAGATAAGGACAAACTCAACCATGACCATGGGGCAAATCTGGCGTGGGATTTTTCCTCTATGGCTTTTCACTGCAGGTGTGGCAGCTACCACCAAACTGAGCTCGCTCTCCCGATGGTGGTCGTCCCAAGCGCTCGGACTCGCTCCTTCTCTAACCTACTTGGGCTCTGGGGGGGTCCCACACCTGGCCCGGGGCGTAGCCCTCACGTGATGTCTGCAAACTCGTGCGGCCTGGCCTGACTCAACCCCAGCCTTTGCAGAACCCCTCGCCGCCCCCGTGACTCAGTTTCTCCATTTGCTCACGCGGGCCAAGGCCGTGAGGCACTGGAGAGGAATGCGGAGGGTGCCTCGGACAGGTTCCCTGCAGGACGTGCTTTCAGGCCAAGCCCCACAGACTGGAGTTTGCGCCGCCCAGAGCGCTGCTCCTGGACGTGCCCTGCACTGGCCCCAGAATTGCGTCGGGAGGCTTTGGGTGGCAGTGACCCCGCCAGGTGCACGCGCAGGACCTCTGGGCGACACCGCCTGAGACCCGTCTGGCGTGACTGCGGCAGGGCCCGGGGCCAAGGAGGGATTGCCCGGGAGACACTCGGTGCCCGCGTGCGTGGGGCCCGTGCCCACCGCCCGCGCCTGACGCAATCCGCGGCGCCCTTGCTGCATGCGAGCGCTGGGGAAACCCTCCCCGCCGTTGCATCACTCCGGCCAGGCTTGCTACGAAGGTGGAGCCCAGCCAATCAGCGCGCGCGCTGGGCGCGAAGCGGGCCTCTCTGCCACCCACTGAGAGGGCGGCGCGGTTAACCGAGAAGCGAAGTCCGAACGTGATTGGCCAAGAGGTGGGGTTGCCCCGCCCCAATCACCGCGGCAGCTGGCTTCGGTAGGCGGGGGCCTCCCGGCCAGAGGGTTTAAAGAGCGCCTCCTGCGGGGGCCACTCAGCTGGAGCGACCGACTGGTGCCAGGCCAGGTGTGCGCGTCCGTCGGTCCTTCCGTGCCCGCGCCGGAGACCAGCTCCCGGAGGCCGCTTGGGCCCGTCCCTGTGCCCGGCACCATGAAGCAGGAGTCCGCAGCCCAGACCACTCTGTCCCCCTCGCCGTCCCCTGCACCATCCCCGCAGCGACCCCGGGAGGATGGCGACCCCCAATCCCTGTGGATTTTCGGGTACGGCTCCCTGGTGTGGAGGCCCGACTTCTCCTACAGTGACAGCCGTGTGGGCTTCGTACGCGGCTACAGCCGCCGGTTCTGGCAGGGAGACACCTTCCACCGGGGCAGCGAAAAGATGGTGAGCATCCGACCGTACCCAGAGGATGGAGGAGGAAGGGCAGGGTAGTGGGCACCGGTGCCCTGGAACGGCCGGGGCTCTCTGGGCCAGTGGAGGGAAACGTGTAAGCCTGCGTCCGGGTTTGTGGTTTAAATTTGTGTGCCCGGGGATCACCGTGTGATGCTTGGAGTCTTTGAACCTGTGCATCCTGCTGGTGGGCAGTCCTGACACTGCCCTGGTCTGTCTGTTCTGCACTGTGCATCACTCCCCGCACAGCCCCCTGCAGGAGCAGGTCTCTGGGGCCTGAGCGGGCAGTCTCCATGGGCTTTCTTTGCACTGATGGTAGAGCCAATTTCTAATTTGTCTATCTTTCTTTCCTCCCTAGCCTGGCCGTGTGGTGACCCTCCTTGAAGATAGAGAGGTGAGTGCCTGAGTCAAGAGGGGCCCCCCTAGTGCGGAATGTGGAGGGGTGCAGAGAAACAGAGCTCTTTGGGCCAGTGACTGCAGGCTAGGTGTGATGCCCCTTGGGCAGAGTGGACACGTGGTATAGCTCAGGGCTTCTGGGTTCCATCATCCTCAAGATGCATTTTGAATTCGGTAGGATTAGATGGGTTGAGATGCAGTATGTCACAAGCCTTCGGGTGATTTTGCAAGTTCCTGCACCACACTATGAGTAGAACTTCAATTCTCCCTGGGGCTAGACCACCTGGTCAGCCCTTCAAAAAAGAGGGAATAAGCAGGAGGGACTGCTGCCATACCACCTAAGCCCACCACCGTTACAGAGCACAGTCCTGGGGCAGGGTAGCACTCTAGGATGACAGAGCCTCTGCCTGACCACAGGTGTCCCTTTTTCTTCCTAGGGCTGCACTTGGGGTGTGGCATACCAGGTACAAGGAGAGCAAGTGAGTGAGGCCCTGAAGTACCTGAATGTGCGGGAGGCAGTGCTTGGCGGCTATGACACCAAAGAGGTCACCTTCTATCCTCAAGATACACCGGACCAACCACTCACGGCATTGGCCTATGTGGCCACCCCACAGAACCCTGGCTACCTGGGCCCTGCTTCAGAGGAGGCCATTGCTACACAGATCCTGGGTAGCCAAGGCTTCTCTGGCCACAACCTCGAGTACTTGTTGCGTTTGGCGGACTTCATGCAGCTCTGTGGGCCTCAGGCACAGGACGAGCATCTGGAGGCCATTGTGGACGCTGTGGGCTCTTACCTCACTAAGCAGGCTGTGGCATTGGTCTAAGGAGCTGAACCCATGTGGACATCAGGACCAGATGCCCACCCAGTGCTTAAGACAGACTTGACAGAGCTAAAGCACTCTGAGAGGGCATGGAGGGGGGTCCACCTCTTCTGCTTGACTGACACTGACTTACTACTTGAAACCTTATTTATTGCACCATGTTGGTGTGGCGGGCAGGGTGGGTGGGGGACCTGCCCTGGACACAGGCCCTGCTGCGCAGTGGCACCACCCCAGCCTCTGGTGCCTGACCAGCTTCCCCATTGCTGCTGCTAATACCACACCACCCAGGCCTCCACCTCCCCAGGCAGCCTCCAAGAGCCTTCATCCTCAGACCATGGTCCATGTAGACAAACATTCCCCCATCTCACCCAGATTTCCAGCCTGTCGAGGGGGGCAGCAGGAGTGAGGAAAGGGGCCGTACAGGACAAAGGCACACTCATCTGCTGGGACCCCACGGCAGGGCTGGATCTGATGTCTGGACACAGCTGCTGAGCCTGGGCCTGGGGCCCTTTTCCTTTTGGTTGTTTCTCTGTCCTGAATGTCTGTCCTTTGTCTGTCTGATCTATTCCTGAGAAGGTCATCACTACAGGCCCTGACCCCTTCTCAGTGTCCCCTACTGTTATCCGTAAACAGAACTCTTTATTACCTGTGCTGGAATGTGGTTCTTTCTTTACATCGGGGTTGGAATAAACCCTGGAAGTCTCCTGAGGAAGGGAAGGAAAGGGATTGCTGTCTTCTCCCTGATTTCCCAGAGGGCAGCTAAGCAGGCAGGACCAACAGGCTCCATCACTCCCAGGTCTTAGTGCCTGGGATTCCTGTCCCTGAGTTGTGTGGAATTCAGCCTGGGCAGCTCTACTAGGAGCCCTGTGAACAGTGTCTTTGCCACTGATGGGGCCCCTGTGTCTCCGGCTCCCAGCTAACTCAGAAGGCTGGAAAGCTTGGAGTTGTGACCAGATTTTCTTCCAACTGCAGGGCCAGCGGCTGCCCCTTGCTGACAGGTCAGACCCTTGGCTTCCTTTAAAGGAGCATGGGTCAGGGCATAGTGACAACTTCTGGGACAGTGTTGACAGCTGGCAATAGGGTCTTATGGCCTGGAGGACTTGCTGTCCATTTTATTTCCAAGATCCAAATGCTCACTGCCACCCCCTGGGCCTGCGATTTTGGCTGTCCCTTTTCCTCACCTGACCTGCCAGGACTCACCCACGATGGAATGAGTTGCTGGGATGGCCAGCTACTGGTTCACCCCCTGCCTGTCCCCAGATGCACCTCATGTCCTGGCCCCTAGGGGCAGATCCCAACTCAGATCTCAGCCTGACTAGGGGCCTGCTACAGAGAGTGAGTGGCCCCTTAGAGCCACCCCTGGACTCGGAGAGTGGGAGCAGAGCCAAGGTGGCAGGCTTTAGCACCAAAAGAGTTTTGAGTGCAACTCAGCCCCTTCCTTCACTGCCCAGGGACCTCAGGAGAAAAGTACCAGCCCTTGGGGCACTTATCAGGGGACACTACCCACACAATGACAGATGGGGCGGGCTGGCTGGTATGTGTTGCTGCTGCTCTTGAGGCTAGTGCCCTGGATTGGTATGGGTGAACCCAAGCAGGTCAGCTCCCACCAAGTTGAACAGGCATTGTTCTCTGGGGAGAGTACCATGTTGATTTATGTGCCTGTCTTGGTGGCTCCGTGTCTTGGCCATTGCTGAGAAAAGTATGGAGTCCAGCCAGGTTCTTCTGGGAACCTGGTCAGGGCAAAATGACAGGAGCAGTCAGTGGGTAGCCGGGAGTCCTGAGCAGCCACCCTTGGGCCTCTTGGGTCAGAATAAGGATCTTGCTCTAGACAGGGTTAAGTGGGGTAGGGAGGGGTGTTGACCAGCTGCACATGGCTCCCGTTCTTCAAGCTATTTCCAGGCACTGTTTAGGCACAAGGGATGCCCCTCCACAAGGAATCTGGAGTCTGGGACTGATGGTGACCATTCTGCATAGAATGTGACCATGGAGAAAGGGCCTCAGTGTTCAGTCAGGGAAGACTTTCTGGGGGGAGGGAGTCAAGGAACAGCATGTTCCTCAGGGGGAGAAAGGTCAGACAGGCTGGCACAGCAGCATGGGGAGGGGACAGGTGGCAGGACTGGGACTGGCTGGCCAGCCCAGCTCACTGGGCTATGATGGTGGCATTCTTTCTAGGTCAGTGGGGGGCCTCAGCAGATTCTGCACAGAGAAGGGACATGCTTACCAGGGAACTGGCTGCTGAGTCACATTGGAGGCGGAAGGCCAAGAATGGCTAGTGGGAGGTAAGGTGAGCAGAGCTGAAGCGTGCAGTGGGCATGGGTAGGGATGGATTTGAGAACAGTTAAGGGGTGAGGTGGACAGGATGTAGTGATAGCTGGATAGGCAGCAAGAAGGACTGAAGATGTAGGAGAAAGCTCAGATTCAGTTTCTCCTAAACTCTTACAACACAGGCCACTTTTTTTGGTCTATATTGGGATTTGTCTTTTCTTTTTTTTTTTGGTGCAGGGATCGAACCCAGGGCCTCGTGCATGCTAGGTAAGCTCTGTACCACCGAGCTACATCCCAGCGCCTATATTGGGATTTGAACTCATGGCCTCATGCTTGCTAGGCAGGTGCTCTGCCACTTGAGCCACACCCCCCAGCCTCACAGAGTCCCCTGACTCCAGGTGTGAGTTTTCCCCACACACGGAGCAACTACTCAGTCTGCAGCAGACAGCAGCTGGGTGTCCTCCAACCTAATTCACTTCTTTTTTTGGTGACACTGGAGTTTGAACTTAGGGCCTCAAACTTGCTACACCAGCACTCTTACTGCTTAAGCCACCCTGCCAGCCCATTTTTTGTGATATAATATATATATATATATATATATATATATATATATACTTTTTTTTTTTTTTTTGAGATAGGATCTCTCAAATTATTTGCCCGGGGCTGGCTTTGAACAGCAATCCTCCTGATCTCTGCCTCTTGAGTAGTTAGGATTACAGGTGTGAGCTACCGGTACCTGGCTCCCAATTCACTTCTGACACTATCTGGAGACAGTGCCAGATCCTGTGGGCTGAGGGCTCTGTCCCAAGACTGCTCCCCACTTCTGATGCCAGCTGAAAGCCCAGGTTCTACCTGTGCAGCTGAACCACTGGCTATGAATTGAGGTTCCCATGACTGCCTGCTCAGGTTTAATTTGCTACAGGACTCAGGGAAACACTTCCTTGAGCTCACTGACTTGCTGTGAAGGCTGTCACAGTCTTACGCTACACATGAAAAGCTGTCCAGGGTGAGTATGGAAGAAGGAGCACGGGCGGCCATGTTCTCTCCAGGCACACCTGCTCTCATCAGCTCAGCTCTCTGGAAGCTCTTCAAACCCTCTGCTTTTTTTTCCTGGTAATGGAACCCAGGGCCTCACATGTGCTAGGCGTGTCTTCTACCACTGAGCAACACCTCCAGCCCGGTCTGGGTTGTATTGCCTGGGCACAGTTGCTCATACACTGGGTGGGAACCCAGCAAAGCCTGTCTGTCCAGATGCTCCATCCTCCTTCCTTGCAGGTCTGGGGCAGGACCCCTTCTGAAATGGGGGTCTTATTTACTCCGGGATGGTAGATCAGAGAATGTCAGACCAGACTGGGGGAGGGAGTTATGAGCCAAGAACCGCGGGCTGAAACCAAGCAACATCTCATCAGATGGCAGGGATGAGGGAGATCCAGGAGGGCAGGGCTCCTGGTGCAGTGGCAGAGCTGGAGCCACCTGTGGGGGTGGCAGTGCCACCCCCACAGTCACATTGATGTGACACTTAGGAGAAAATCTGAGCTAGAGTCAGAGGCCGGGGAGCCAGATGTGTGGAGATGATGCTTAAGATGTGCATGGGGAGCAAAGAGGTCGGGATGGGCCTAGTCGTGAGGACCCAGGCCCCAGGTCTGAGCAAAGCAAGAAGTGGAGCAAACAGCTGGAGGGGGAGGAGGAGAACCAAGACAGGGCGGCATCCAGACAGCCAAGGGCGGATGGTTTTTCTAGGAAAGGCACAATATTGGCATGCTGCTGCGAGGTCAGGAAAACGAGGACCGAGCAATGCCTACGTGTGAAATGCTGGAGGATCCTGGGAGGCCTCAGCGTGAAGGACAGGGTGAGAGGCCACGTGGCAGCGCCCACAATTCAGTGGGGAAGTAGTCAACGTTCAGGAAATCTGCCTGTTAAAAGGAGAGAAAAGGGGGCAGAAACTGAGTGTGTGGGAGGCGCCAGGGTCTCCAGGACTCCTTTACAGATGAAAAATCACTGGCTCCAAAAGTGGATGAGGCGATCTACATTTACTATGTTCGAAATTGAAGTCGAGAAGTTTAAAGCTTCAACAACAAACAAGAATAAAAACAAGAGCCAGGTGTGGTAGAATACTGCTATAATCCCAGCACTCAGAGGCAGACGCAAGAGGATTTCCAGTTTGCAATCAGCCTGGATTACATAGTGAGATCGTGTCTCAAAAAACAAAAACCAAAAGCAGGGAGGGGGCAATAAAGGAAGTGATGGGGGGAGTGAATTCAACTGTGATACAGTTGTATCACAACTGTATTGTAAGAACTTTTGTAAATGTCACAGTGTACCCCCAATGCAACAACAACAACAATAAAACACCCCAGTACTGCAAAAACAAAAACAAAAAAGTGTAAAAATAAAAATAAGGCCAAGACATAGCTCAAGGGTAGAAAACATGTTTTCAGTTCACTCCCCAACAAGAAAAAGATATAAATAAAAATAAACAGGCTATATGTTAACTTTTTTGCTTGTATTTACTTGTGTATTTATTTATTTTTTGGTGGTACTGGGGTTTGAACTCAGAGCCTCAGGCTTGCTAGGCCAGCATTCTACCACTTAAGCTACTCCTCCAGCCATATTTTTATGTTGGGTTTTTTTCAAGATAGGGTTTCCCAAACTCTTTGCCCAAGCTGGCTTCAAACTATGATCCTCCAGATCTCTGCCTTCCAAGGAGCTAGTATTATAGGTAAGAGCCATTGGTGCCCTTCCTGTTTTGTTTTTTTGAGCAAGGTCTCACTATGAACCCCAGGCTGACCTCCAACTTGCCATCCTCCTGCCTCAGCCTCCCAAGGGTTGGGATTACATGTGTGTACCACCAGGAATGGTATTTTATATTTTAAATGTCTGACTC